GTACAAAGTATCGGTAACTTCTGTTTGACCGTCATGTGTGAATGGAGTAGGTCCAGATAATTCACTGTGAGCAAGTGGTGTGTTGATGACGTTTCTGTCATGCAACTGGTGTGAAAATGGAAGAATAGAAACATCTAAGGTCAAAGAAGAAGGGTCATTTACAGGAAGAAATGACAACATTCGGGAACTTCTGTCAGTAACTTTTGTCACTATCCTCAATGTGCTGTAAACAAAACACTGCGATTTCCGCAGCGTACTTTTTGTGTCATGCCCTGCCTGCTCTATCCAAGCGACATCTGTCGTTAGAGCTTACTGGGGCTCCTCTGTGAATCAAGCTTAGGGCCCTGCAGGGTCTCAGGCCTGTAGAGTATTGTAGGCTGGTCCATTTTTAAGTGGCAGCTACTCTGTCAGACTTGAAGTTGCTTCTGCAGGCTCTGCAGGTGCAGGGAGGCTGTCCTGTATGTCTGACACTGAGCTCCGCAGTTAATTGTGTGAAATTATCACTATTAGTGATGTTGATCTTAGATTTAGTATGAATAACAGCCATTGTATCAGTGCAGCTTTAGTGAGTGTTACGCATTTCATTGTGCAGGGATCTCATGAACCAGGAATAACTGACTCATGGCTCATAATTAATAGAAAAGCTCCTGTCTAGGTATTGCTAAGTCTTTCCTGCTGTGACTAATGGCTCTCCCTGTCGGCATTTGGCTCAGGGAGTGATGTGTCACTCTGCACCTTGGTGATCTCTTACACTTCCACTGCTGCCCCAGTTTTGTGCAGGTGAAGGGAGAAGAACTTCTGCATTTTAAGAAACCAACAACATCATACTGTACCAGATCTCTGGGAAGCAATGCTGTCCTCTACTGTTTACACAGCCACACTACAGTCTCTGTTCTGCCAGCAGTGTTATTGGCTCATTCACATGTCTCCATTTGCCAAAGGGTGTTTAGTGCCAAGCAGGGTCAGCAAACACACTGCATGACCTCACCTCCCCTGGAAGCCTCAGTATCCTGGTGTATGTGCCCATATAAGTGCTATAAATTTTACCTGTAGTTTGCTTGTGCTGCAGAATCTGTGTAGACTCTGTATCCTGCTGACCGCAGTGTGCAGCTATGCATGTTCAGGTAGCGTCACCAGCAAGTGAGCCGTCCCACACGGCTATACCTGGACTATGCCACAAGGTGGCAGCATTGTAGATTGTAGGTGTTACATAGAACTGAAGTTGATCTTCAAGTAACATAACATGGTGAGTTCATAGCTTTTGAAGAATCTATATAGCAAATATCATAGATTTTACTCATTTCCCAATCAGACACCCAATCAGATGTTTTTCATAATACATCACATGGCTTCTCTCTCAGCACACTGGACACAGACAGCCATGTTCATTTCATAGCCGTTCGTTATGTATATAAATATGATAAAATTGAAGGCTCTTTTCTTTACTATAAGACTTACGGGAACCAACTTATATCCCTGACCTTTTGACCCAATAAGCAGCAAACAGGACCCTCATACCTTCCGATCAGGACCTGCTTCTTACCCCCCCAGGTCCAAGTGTAAGACTGACAGCACTTTTGCAGCTGCTGCCCTTCAGCTGAGGAACAGTCTGCCTGTGGACATTAGATCAGCCAGCAGTGCGGCTCCTTTAATTGGCATCTGCAAACTTATCTGTACGCAGAGGCCTTCTGCTGAGGTTGGATTGTCTTTATTTCCTGTGAAGCACTTTGTGACATTTGTTCTTGAAAGGTGCTATTGAAATAAACAACTTACATACTTAGTAGTTTATTTACTCACTTACTTACAAATCCATGTAGTTCTCTTTATGCTGGAATCAGTCAGGACTCTATCTCTCATCTACTATTGGTCCAAAATGCGGCAGCATGGCTGCTAAAAGGAAAGCGAAAGCAGGATACTCACTGCACTGCACTGGTTACCAGTGCGTTTTAGGATTGAATTTAACATACTAACATTTGTTTACAAATCCCTTAATGGCCTTGCTCCCTCCGATCTGTTAGAGCATTTAAATCCATATGTTCCGAATAGGACTTTGAGATCAGTAGAGCAAAGCCTTTTGGTGATCCCAAAATGTAGGTTGAAGCTTAGAGGAAATCGTGCGTTTGCGGTTGGAATTTGCCCCTGTGTATTTGGCAGGCGCCAACACTGTCCATGTTTAAAGCTTGGTTAAAAACCCATTTTTATTCTTTGGTTTTTAATTCAATATAGGAGTCGTGATGTATGTGTTTGTCCTCTTTGCTTTACTGATTTGTTCAACACTTTGTGTCAATTCTGCTTGTCTGAAATGTGCTATAGAAATACCCTGAACTGAACATAAAACATAGGTTTTTCCTGCCAACCGTTAAAAGAATTTTTACAGAATTCAGGCATTTTTCTTCCATTTGGAGATGAATACTTGCAGACTGGATGGTATGTCTGTGGGTGGTTTTTAACTGCAGCAAAGGCCGATCTTACAGCTGCACTCACTCCCGTTCCATGTTACAGGCATGTAAGTATCACCGGTTCTGATGGTCCGTAATATATGTAATAAACGGAGTTCTGAAAATATTGCTGAAAATATCCAAATATAGCTCATATTTGTTAGGGAAAGCACTACTGACTCACATATGGATTCCATTATCTGCTGCTCTTTTTCATATGTTTTACGATTAAGAATGTACTTAGCGCCCCCTGTGGACCATCTTGAAATATGTCAGTTTAATATTAATTCTTTTCACTGTCATTAAAAAACAGTGAATATCATAAGATATTTATGCTACATCCACCATAAATACCTCATATTTAAATAAATTAACAGACATGTTCAGTACCTTGGGATATGGAGACTTTGGTCATAACCCTGATCTATTATTCTGCATTTGACCGGCCACTCTGTTGAATTTTTTACATTATTCAGTTTGAAAAATGACCTTTTATTAGGAGTCTACACTGACTGACAAAGCAGGTTTTTTTTTTTTATTTGTTCATTTAAAATCCTGTCTCCTGTGCCCACTGCCATCCTTTCTCTGCACATAACGAAGGAGGGAATAATGAAAAACAGATAAAGTATTTACTGTAGTGTGGGGGCCCAGGAAGCAGCATACACCCCCTATTAGTGTAAATAAATGAACAAACCTCCAGGTCAGATCGGCAGGGTTATGAAATGTATCTTTATATATCAGGAGTGTATCAGTTTATGCTGCAGCCATTTTCTGTGCATGAATCTCCCTTCGGGTGGGGGGGTGACCTTTGTGGAGCAGAACGATAAAAAAGGTCATGAATCAGTGAGAAAACATATATGATCATGTCTCTGTCGCAGGTCTCACCCAATATACAGTACGTGTTATTTCTATATATACACAATGTATGTGTGCATGTGTGTGTGTGCATATCAAGGGATTTGGGTATGGATGGTTGGGACAAGTCCTTACCAATATTCTAGGAATACTGAATTGTTCCTGCCTTGGGTGTAAATTATGGGGGGGAAGGGGGGGTGTAGCCCCCCCCAATAAATCAAAAACCCCTTGTACAACCCCCCCAATAATCATGTTTCCCCCGTAATGGGGGGGTCTCCCCCTCAGTAATCAAAACCCGCCAATACAACCCCTTGGACCCCCTTAAATGGGTGGATACCTCAACCCCCCCAATGCTCAACCCAAAGTTATGCCCCGTTTCCTAACAATATTTTTTTCCATCTCCATACCTATTCACATTAACATCAGAGTAAAATTAAAGGTAAAAAGTTTCCTGAAATTTGTTCTGTGAAATTAAGGGTGCCTCCCAGGAGAGTTTGCTTTTCTTCCTTGTCAGTATCAATGGCTCACTATTGTTGTTTTTAAGGCTTATGGAGGCCATGAGGGAAGGAAACTAAATAGTGAGACCTACGCCAATATGCAGGTTCGTGTGAGGGTGAGTGTTTGTGTGAGGGTGAGTGTTCGTGTGAGGTCTGTTTTTTGATGATTGCATTTTAGCCTATTTTCTTTAATTCTTTCACTGTAATTTTTTTATTGTTTATTTTTAAAAACATATTTATTTTGCTGTGTTTGTTTTTACCACATTATAAGGACCAAAATGTCCCCACAATGTGGTAAGACCTGTTACTTTTTAGCTTGTTGGAATATTTTCAGGTTCCCACAATATAAACCTCAATTATACACAAACACTTTCATATATCTCTGACAGTGCGGATGTGGTTAGGGGGCATGGGACTGATTTGGTCCCTACCAATGCTGAAACCAAACCTATGCCCTTGCTCCCTCCGAACGTGATTTTAAAGGATGATGGGTAATATACACAGAAAGGTGTTAGGAGAGCTGTGACGCCCTTTGATATGCAGCTCCTGGAACCAGCCACTCCCCTGCAGACCAATGGTGCTGGGTGTATATTTGCATAGTATGACATGGTCCTGCCTTTGGTTTAACAGATCACATAACATCCTCCATAACAGTGGGTTTGCAAAAAATTAAGCGTAGTAACAATCTGAATATTTAATGAACAAAATGATTTGAGTTTGTCCCCAGCTGTGGTCTAGAAGCAGCAAGGGCACTGCCCATTACATCTGCACTAGGGAACATGCAGTCCTATAACCACTAGGGGAGCTCTCACCTTCTCTCAGCCCTTCTAAATAATTCAATTTAGTGCCCCGGTCTAGCCGTTCCGTTATGTTCTGCATTTCTGTTCTGAAGGAAAACTTATAACATTTAAGCACTTTTAAGACATTCTCTGTCATGTAGTAACTCCACTCAGGTTGTACTGTACCCGAATCACATTGAACATCCTTGGAATCGATCAATCCCAGTGAGACACCCAGTTTGTCAATGTTTACCAGTTCACCACAACACAATTTTCCTCCGTCCCCTCCAGGTCACAGCTATGACATCACAAACAGACACCATGAAACATTAGAGCCTAAATACCTGTCCAAAGGTGAATATGAGTATATTTCTACTCAAACACTAAGCATACATTTCTTAGAGAGAAATAATGGATAAAAACTTGAAATGTTCAAGTCAAGGCAAGTGGCGCTTTATTGTCACACCAACCATATGCATTACACTGCACACAGTGACAGGAAGTAAAGTCCCCTGGACTGCGGTGCTACATTTACACATAAAGTGCATGGATAGGCAGGACAAGTGGGGGGGGGGCGGCATGTACCACAAACAATGATGGAATGTATAGAATTGTTTTTCTCAAAAACGGAACAACCAACAAGGACTGACCCATAAGAATGGAGGGTCGGCACAGGTGAGGAATGGGGAGCAGGACATTAGCAGCCCATTTGTCAGGAAGACAAATGGGCTGCGTGTGCTGCCCCCCAGTGTCTGGAGGAGCTCTGACACAAATGACAGAACAGTACTCTGTAAATAAAAAATAAAAAAAATAATAATAATAATAATCAGTGGTCAACGTGTGTGATTCTCATTTTAATAGGGGGCCACTGTACTGCAAACCAACCAAAGATCAAGTGGTCCATGCAGGCTGTGGAGGCAGCATTCCTGTTCAGTAACAAAAGTTTACAATGAACGAAAGGGCGTAAGTAAAACCCAATTTTCCTGAAGTATCGAGGCTCCAGCATAAAAAAGGTCTTACATTTTTTTATGGTTTAATTTACAGTCAGTTTCTATTTAAAAAAGCCTCCATCGATGCAGGTATTCGTTTGCAGTGTAACAGGGTCCCCCTTGCCATGTAGAAGGGTCCTTCTTGCTGTATAGCAGGGTCTCACTTGCAGTGTAGCAGGGTCCTCCTTGCAGGGTCCCCTTTGCGGTGTAGCAAGATGCCTTTTGCCATATATCAGGATCTCCTTTGTCATGTAGCAGGGCCTCCCTTTGCTGTGTAGCAGGGTCTCCCTTGCAGTGTATCAGGATCTCCTTTGTCATGTAGCAGGGCCTCCCTTTGCTGTGTAGCAGGGCCTCCCTTGCAGTGTATTAGGATCTCCTTTGTCATGTAGCAGGGCCTCCCTTTGCTGTGTAGCAGGGCCTCCCTTTGCTATGTATCAAGATCTCCTTTGTCATGTAGCAGGATTTCCGTTGCCATGTACAGTAGCAGGGTCCCCTATGCAGTGTAGCAGGATGCCCTTTGTCATGTAGCAGTGTCTCCCTTTTCCATATATCAGGGTCTCCCTTGCAGTGTATCAGGATCTCCTTTGTCATGTAGCAGGGCCTCCCTTTGCTGTGTAGCAGGGTCTCCCTTGCAGTGTATCAGGATCTCCTTTTTCATGTAGCAGGATTCCATTTGCCGTGTAGCATGGTCTCCCTTTGCACTGTAGCAAGATGCCCTTTGCCGTGTAGCAGTGTCTCCCTTTTCCATGTATCAGGGTCTCCCTTTGCTGTGTAGCAGGGTCTCACTTGCAGTGCGGCAGGGTGCCCCTTGCAGTGTATCAGGGTCTCCCTTGCAGTGTACCCTTTGTCATGTAGCAGGATACCCATTGCAGTGTAGCAGGGTGCCCTTACAGTTGCCTCAAGCTTCAACCTGGAGATTAACTGCTTAACCTGTTGGCCATCCCTGATGCTTATTTGTTTTTCCACCTGCTGAAATTTTAACTAAGTACATTTTCCCCAAATGCTCTTTAATAAAGTCTTCGTGCCAGATTCAAACCTTTCTACATGACAAAAATGGCATCTCACCCCCCCGAGCAAAAAAGTAACAGCAGCGATAATTAAAAAAAGCAGGATGCCACACGAACGGACAGGGGGTGCTCAACACTCCGTGGTCATGAGGCGCGTTTATTGATGCATGTCAGCACACACAGCTACCATCACATACCGCAAATCCAGCAGAAGCACTGTACGTGAACAGCAGGGGGCGTCATGGCTCCGGGGGGGATGGTTCCGGGTCCACGCGCAGCTACCCAACACCATCGTCTGACTAGGGATGCGTCTACTAATCAAAGAAGCTACTCAAGGAACCAAAAATAAACATCTAAAATGATCTTGGGAGGTGCATATTATAAATGTCAGGGCGGGGAACACACACACACACACACACACCTCCGTCTGACATGTACCGCGAGGCCTGGGAGTGGCGGGGCGGGGCAGGGCAGGTCTGAGCTGCAGCTGTTTCTGGTTCCGTCTGTCTTCATTGGAGAGGCTGTATGGTCTGTGAAGGCCCAGGGGGGTCCTCCCCCCCTCCCTTCTACATGCCCAGCGGCCGTGGCGGGACGCACATGATCCAGCGTGAGAGATGTGCTTTTAAAAACCCCACAGCTGGCGATCAGAGGAAACAAGCATGTAGCGTATGTACAATGTACTCAAATATAATGAAACAGACACTGCTCTCTATTCCGGTGACATTCTCAGCAGCGATTAGCTGCCTGGTTTCTGACATTGCCCCCCCCACCCCCCCGGGCAGCAGCCCTGTAAGCCCCCGCAGTCACACATCACTGGCCAGCCTGCCCACCTGCCACCCTGCAGGCACATCCATGGCAGCGTTTGGCATTTCCAGAAGCTTCCGCGGAATGGGGGGGCGGGGGCACAGAAACGTGTACCAAATGTGGTTGTACATAGTCACAGTCTTCTTTGGGGGGGTTGGGGGTCCTCAGTCAGCAGCATCCCAACAAAGATTAAAAATTTTAACAATTAAAACGTTTTGTGTAGTGTTACAAGTCCGTCTGTGTCCATTTTTTTAAAATCCAGACAGGAAAACGTGATAAAGTTCACCTACAGCTACAGACAGACAGCACATTAGGTAATATAGTTAAACAAAACACTGATCTTAACAGACTTACCATGGTAAAAACATCATACATACATGTTAAACAATCAGGAAATAAAAAGGTGACTGGGGAAGTCCTCAGCTGTGCAAAATGGTGATTTTTCTTCCTGTAGAGTGGGGAGTAAGTGTTTAATGGCCGTTCGTGGGGGTGTGGCTGAGGGCTGGTCTGACCTGTGGGGGGGGTGGGGGTGTGGCTGAGGCCCAGCCGGGCCCGTTGGGGGGGTGGCCCCTCACCGCTTCCGCCGGCAGGTCCGCTTGTGGTCCGCGTGCCAGTGCTCCTGCTGGCACTTGATGGAGCAGTAGGAGGTGTTCCAGCAGCAGTGGTACATGGCCTCCTCCTCGCAGTTGTAACACTGATGGGTATAGAACACGCATCGTTAGCAGTGAGGATCAAAAACTCGAAAACTGGTTAACAGACAGGAAGCAGCAAGTAGTTACTAGACGCACAATGTCACAGTGGGCCTGCGTTCATAGTGGGCCTGCGTTCATAGTGGGCCTGCGTTCATAGTGGGGTACCGCAGGGTACAACGTGATCTTGATTTAATTAGCGACTGGGCTGATACCTGGCAGATGAAATATAACATAGATAAATGTAAGTAATGTCCATGCAAGGAGCAGAAATATAAAATATAGATATTTTATGGGTTCCACTGAAATAAAGGTAGCTGATTATATGAGAAA